ACTGTAACTGATTTAGAACCGGCATGCACTGCACATTATTCTTCGCATTGCAAAATGACATTGCGCATGCGTCAGGAACTTCTGTTCGAACGAACTTCACCTGCCGTCCGGGTCAGCGATTTTAAAAAGGTAGCAACAGTAGCACGGAATTTTTCATTACTTATTCTGTGATGAAACTGAATTTTAGTCTTTTAAATTGAGATACCTAAATAAGAGGGGGGCAAAATTTTCCTCCGCCCCGGGCAGCTGACACCCACGCTACACCACTGCCCATAATATTAGCGCTTGTTCCATTTTTTACATTATAGGTGCTCTCAGACTAGCAACATTTTTCGCAAGAATAGATGATCTGGATGCGACCAAATTTCTGATCTTTTCTCCTGATTGCTTAATCGACCGAATAGTCAACTCATTTAAATTAAAATTCCTACTAATATCAGCTATCCACTCTTGATTTTTAAATCACCAAACGATCGCCTTAATATCGGGCTATAATATGGCTAATTAAATGATTAGTATAAAGTAATTTGACATTCTAAATCTATTTAATTATAATTATTAATTTACTTAAGAGATGGCATCTAACGTCTACCTCTAATGTCAAATTACTTTATACTAATCATTTAATTAGCCATATTATAGCCCGATATTAAGGCGATCGTTTGGTGATTTAAAAATCAAGAGTGGATAGCTGATATTAGTAGGAATTTTAATTTAAATGAGTTGACTATTCGGTCGATTAAGCAATCAGGAGAAAAGATCAGAAATTTGGTCGCATCCAGATCATCTATTCTTGCGAAAAATGTTGCTAGTCTGAGAGCACCTATAATGTAAAAAATGGAACAAGCGCTAATATTATGGGCAGTGGTGTAGCGTGGGTGTCAGCTGCCCGGGGCGGAGGAAAATTTTGACCCCCTCTTATTTAGGTATCTCAATTTAAAAGACTAAAATTCAGTTTCATCACAGAATAAGTAATGAAAAATTCCGTGCTACTGTTGCTACCTTTTTAAAATCGCTGACCCGGACGGCAGGTGAAGTTAGTTCGAACAGAAGTCCCTGACAGAATGTCATTTTGCAATGCAAAGAATAATGTGCAGTGCGTGCTGGTTCTAAATCAGTTATATACAAATAAATCGTAGAAGCAAAAAAATAATGAAAATAAAAAAGAAGGTCGACAGGTTGCGCAAGATATCCCCGGATGTCGAGTCGATTCCCGGACTGTCCGGATGGTAACACTATTCCGTGCTCATTTCAATCGGTCCGAATCGTAGGTGGACGAAGATATGAAATAAAATGGTTCAAATTCTTACAATATATTATTATTTATTGTGAAATTTTGCCGCTGCCTGGGGTGGGCCGCCCCTGCCGCCCTACTATGCTACGCTACTGATTATGGGTAGAAGATATGAACAAGAAACGGTTGCCTTTAAATAAAATTACACTTAAACACAAAGCCTTAAAAATATTTGATTATTTAAAACAAATGGGACAGTTGTCAGCTGCAGTGGCGTAGCATGGGTGTCAGCCGCCCGGAGCAGAAGAAAATTTCGCTGCCCCCTATTAGGTATCTCAATTTAAAACACTAAAATTCAGTTTTGTCACAGAATAAGTAATGAACAATTCCGTGTTCATTCAATCGGTCCGAATCGTAGCTGCGACAAAAATATGAAATGATATGGTTCAAATTTTTACAAGATATTATTATTATTTATTGTGAAATTTTGCCGCCCCTACTGCCCCACTATGCTATGCCACTGGTCAGCTGATGAAACCAGTGTTAAATTCGTGGCTACCAATGGCTGGTTTGGAAAATTCAAAAAAACGCCATTCAAACGCCAAGTTTTTCTCTTTTTAGAACCAAATCCCAGTTTTTGTATTGAGTTGGTGTCTCCTATAACGCGATTTCCCACAACGCGGTATTTTCAAGGAACGTATCTACCATGTTGTAGGAGGCCTACCTGTATTGATAGTGGTGCCAAGATTCAGAGACTATATTATTAATGTTTTTGTAGAATAATTTTTGTAAGCTATTTATTTGTTTTTCTTGGTCTGGCTCCACTCAGTAATAATGACAGCATGTGTGATGACAATGTATAATAATGAGAGCATAATCTATATAAAATGTGAGCCGTTACCCAATGCCTTTGTTGCTTAAACACAACTATAACAGGTTTGAAAGTAGGATTACTCGCCACTCTCATTCTTCTCTCAGGATGAAGCGAGAGGATGGAGTTGTAAGAAGTAGTGGCAGACACAAAGATGTACACAGATGTACAAAAATAACTGCTTTTATTTTAAAGGAAAACTTCTTACAATTATTAGGAGTGACTTTCTAAATGGGCAGAAGTCCAGGTGGATTTGATGGTTCCAGTGTATAGATGGGGAATCATTCAGCTCTACACTAATTACCTAATTGCCATGCACAGTAGTTTCCTTGTCTTTTGTATATTCACGATGGAAATTGCCTGTTTTATGAATCTCAACGTTTTGTCAAGATTTTCCCAGCTTAATCTTTCACCATGACATCATTTCTCCCACTTCAAGTTTGATAAAATACATTAACAAGTGAGGTGGGTTTCAGACCTCACAAATATAACTGCAGGAATAGTTATTTATTTATTATCTCTTTCTTTAATATAATAAATTAAAACTTGTTAAAATACAGAATTACAGAAATTAAATTACAGAAAATAAATATTTCAATGATTTATTCACCTTATACTAAAATTCTAATTTTTTCCTAATCTTAACTATCCCAGATTTCCATTTCATAATTATGCTGGGATAATTATGTATATAATCTGTCATAATTATGCCATTCCAAAATTATAATAGTTCTATTTAAGTGTATTTTTTCAAAGTTACTTTGGACATTCAGGATAAAATTACGAGAAAATTTTCAAATGTTGTGACCAATTTCCTCATCAGCTGCATGTGAGTTGTTGCCACTTTGGTTTTATAGTGATCTCTTATAAATTCTCACTTCTACTAAATGATATACAATATTATGAGTCAAGGAGTGTAATTAATAACTTTAAAAAGACATCTGAAAAACAGCTGCACAGATTAGGATTTGAATATACAACTCTTGTTAACCCAAAATTGCATTGTCAATTGAAGATTCTAGATTACAGAGAGGAACTGATTATATACACATTACAAATAAAACAGCTATATTGGCTTCTGCTTAGACAAAAGTCATTATACTCAAAGAACTTTATCTTCAGATAAAACAAATTTTCATACTGCAGGTACTCCATTTTAATGAGAAGTTTTTATTAAATAAAATTTATTTAGTTTAACTTAAATTATTATACACAAAATAAAATATAGCCACAATTAAAAATGAATGTATTCCAACTCAAAATTCAAATTTCCATTTTGCTTAATCTAATACTTACTTTTTGAAGGAAACATCTTGATTGTTATAGGCGATTTAACTTCAGCATCTTCAAAAACCTTCAAAGTAATATTGTTTTATCAATCATTTTTAAAATTTAAGTTGAAATAAAATAAAAATTACTTTTATAAATAAATTAATTTAAATCTTTCTTTTTATTAATAAAAATCTTTGCATTTCTTTAGGTTGTTAAAATTCAATTATATTTATTTTAAATTATCAGGATCATGAGCTAGAAAAACTTTTGTTTGCAACTAAATATCTTTATCATCAGTGCTATAATTCATTACATTTTAAAATGTAAATTATTTTTCAATAAGAGTAGAAGCATTAATATATAAGATTTTCTTGTTAACAGTTTATAAATAAGAATGAAGTAGAAATTGTTAAATATTGTCAATGGATAGAATGTAACAACTAAGGAATTTTTATAAAAACATATTTTTGTGTTTTATGTACTTTATAAATAAAAACTTTCTGAACATTTATATTACAATTAAAATGTTAACTTCTCAATGTAAAAGATATTGGACATTTCATGGAGTCAAATAATTCAAAAACATTTAAAATTCCAAAATGTGCATTAGACTTAATATTTAAAAAGTACTTCTTTATATATGAGAAAAATTACATTATTTGCATCATTTACATAATGTTTGATACTATCTTAATGAAATCAAGTAGAGGGAATAAATGTAAAATTGTATAAATATAAAAACAACCAATCATAACTGAATAGGGGCAACCAGATGGCAAGGAATTGAACCCAATATAAAGCCTTCCATGAAAATTTCTAAACCAACTTGACCTTCAACCACGATCCAGTAAAGTACCAGATTCTGCTATTACTGCTTTGGCTAACCAACTATCAAAGCCTTCATTTTAACTTTACATGCAAGAATTCTATCTATTAATGGTTTGGTAGTTCAATTAAATTAGAAAACACTGACCTAGAGCATCTAAATTTTTTTAGTGTAAAAATACGAACAGATTTACAAAATTTACATTAATTAATTATATATATATATAAAATGATGCAGTCCTTAAATAAATCAGCTAACATTTTCAGTCATCTTCAATCTTTAAAAAATATTTAACCCATAGAAACAGTCTTTAAATTCCAATGTTCCATTTCAGCTCATGAAAATCCAAATGTTTTAGTACCTCCAGGTTAGTTTCAAGTAGTTCAAGTTTAACTTTGTATATTGTCTGCCAGAGGTAAGAGTATGTTGCTGTTTGACTGCTATGTTTTGTGTATGGTATATATATCATGTTTAAAGATGTTTTTTTTAGCATTATTTCCATTTTTTACATTATTAAGTATGATTATTTTATATTATGCATTATTACACATTACTGATCACTGGGTGTGTTATAAATTATCCTAACCTGCAAAAATATTCATGAATATCTACCTAATTAAAATAACCTTTACAAAATATTAGCATAAATAAATTTATGAATTTATTGTTAACAGAGTGAAGTTTGACAAAGAATTGATGAGAAATGAAAATGGATGCAATAACAATAAAAATATTCACTCTTATTTTCAAATTAATTAGAGGCAACTTTTAACTGCAACAAAAAATAATATTTAGTAATTTTTTAATCTGTTTCATTTTAAAAGCTTTTAAAAATAATTACAAAAAAAATCACACCTTTAAAAAATCCAATAATGACATTTTTGATCAGCTTCATTGACCTCCTTCAGTTACAATAGAAAATAGAGTGTGAATACAAGTTTTAAAAACGATAACCGGAATTTTAAAATAAATGAATAATACTACAATTAATTAGATTTCTGTTAACTGGAATTCTAAAATAAATAAATAACAGAAATCTAATTAATTGTAGTATTATTTATTTATTTTAGAATTCCGGTTATCGTTTTTAAAACTTGTATTCACACTCTATTTTCTATTGTAACTGAAGAAGGTCAATGAAGCTGATCAAAAATGTCATTACTGGATTTTTTAAAGGTGTGATTTTTTTGTAATTATTTTTAAAAGCTTTTAAAGTGAAACAGATTAAAAAATTACTAAATGTTATTTTTTGTTGCAGTTAAAAGTTGCCTCTAATTAATTGCAAAGGTCAATGAAGCTGATCAAAAACACTATTATTTAGTAAATTTCATTACTGGATTTTTTAAAAGTGTAATTTTTTTTGTAATCTATCTATCCAGTTGATACAAAATTTTTAGAAATAATAATATTTTGATTAACTAAATATTTAATCAATGATATCAAAATTCTCATAAATACTATTAATTTTTATATGGGGGTAAAACAGAATACAGAATATAATCTATTTTCTTTAATTTAAATAATCAAATCAATAATTCATCATTTTTAGTTCAGTTACATTAATTATGAAGTGGTTTATGTTCAGTAAGTAAAATATTTGATCAAGTTTAACTTTGCATATTGTCACTGTTGACTGATGTTTTGTGTATGTACACAACAACAACAAAGTAATCACTTTCTTCTAAAAAAATATACCTTTTGAGAAATGTGAATTTAACATGAAAGAAGTATCAATCAAATCTTTTATTTTCAATGAAAACTATTTGGTATTTTCAAGACTTATCAAAATGCATTGGTACTTTGATTATTATTTCTATTTTTTAGCAGCAGTCATTCTTAAAATCTTTTGATAAAATGTATAACTGTATTAAAAAAATTATATTATTAACATTTATCATAAATTTAACATTTGAAAACTTTTACTTACTTTTTTCAGCTCCTCTTCCTTTATACCATATGGGGCATTAAAAAAATGCAATATTTTGGAAGGTGGCTGAATTCTATTTTTTCCAGCAGATTCTGGATTTGTAAAACGATTATTGCGATTACCCATAAAATCTTTAAAAGATGGGCTACCATCAGGAAGACTAAATGGTTGCTGAACATCATTTAAAAATGCTTGTTTAGAATATCTAAAATAAATTTTTAATTATTAAAATATATAATAATTTATTTATTTAATAATTCATTAAATTTTCTTAATAACTTATTCCATATATTTCAAATTATTAAACTATTATATCATTTATTGTAGAAAAACTGAAAAATATAACTTTAAACAAATAAAACCATATTAATTTTGAAGAAAGAAAAAACAAAAAGCCAATTTAAACATTACATTGCTATGACAACAGAATAAAACATTTGAACCAAATGGAGACATCAATTAGAATTTGTACTAGCTGAAGCTTGAGAAAATCCTAATAAAAGAATGAATGAACTTTTCTAAACCAATATGTTTTAGTTTGTTTCTGCACAATTTTTGTATATTAACTATATAATCAGTAGCAATGTTCAGCGCCCATTTGAAAAAAAAATTTGCATTTAAATTCCACAAGCATAGAGAATTAAATGTACAAAATGTAACAGAGGAAACGTTAATATTTCATGTATACATGTTATTACATCCATATATGAAATATTAATTTCTTAGATGCTTAAACAATTCAGATTAGAACACAAGAAAAACTACTAATAGAGATTTACAATAATTTTTGTGGTAAATTCAAGAATGCGTATCAATCAAACATCCACTAAACACATATGTTTAGTTTATGACTGATCCTTTTCTTTTTAATTGAAAACTATGTGAAAGACAATTCATAGCACCAAGTCTACCTGCAAGTAAACTTGTTTGATCATCTGCTATCTTGATTCTATATTCTCTGAGCTTATTCTACTTACTTTTAGTCAATGAAAGAAGTTACCTTTATAAGTTTCAAACAAACAAATTTAACATTTTCATAAATCAATGTTTTTAATCTTGAATAGAAATTGTTAGATTCCTGACAATAATACATCATTTATAGTTTTGAATCTGTCAAGCATCTTCATTTAGTACAGTAAATTACAAAATATTGTGCAATGTATAAACCCTATATAAAATTGTTTAGCTTTGTATGAATAATAATATTAAGAAAGGAATGCTGCTTCTGAAAATTTAAAACATGTTCAATCATAGCACTACATATTATATATTAACTATTTTTTCTTAAACATAAAATTTAAATTTTTAAAAAAGTTTAATTCCTTGCTGATTATTCTAGACAAACTGATTATGACAGGAATTGAATCAATCACTGATGACAATTATGAGGATATACGGGGGGGTGCAAAAGTAGGTATACAGTTGTTATGGAAAAAAACATACAGAGAGAAAATAGGAAGAAAAACATTTATTTTTATGTACAAATTAAATCACAAATAAGAAATATGAACTAATAAAAGATAAATAATAATGAACACCAAACATTTGTATTTCTCAGATTCTCAACTGTATACCTACTTTTGCACTCACCTGTATTTCTGAAGAAAAACTAAAAGTTTCTTTGGTATCTAGTGAATATTACATAAATTCAAAAACTTTTAATAATACATAGATATTCTTATATCTTTATAAGATCATAAAATAAAAACTCTTCTATGATTTTCAATAATTTATTAATTACTGTTTTATTGAAGATCTTCAATAAAACATTAATTCGAAATTAATAAAAAAAAATTTGCTTCTCCAATTTCTATAAAGATTATTGAAGATTGGAGAAGTGAGTTTTTTAATCTCATAGCCCTAATATAAAAAATTTTAATTTGTGGAATTTTAATTTAAAAAGATCTAATTAATTTCTTTTACTTAAACATAAAAAATTTCATAACACTTAAAACATTTTAAACTAAAACAAAACTGATAATTAATTTTAATAGAAGATAACTAATAATTTCTTTTATATTTAATTTCAATTATTTTCCGGCTGTTATATATAACAGGGTAAAGTATAATGATTGAAAAATGACCCCCCAAGATTTTTACATTTTTGGACTTGGAACCTTGAAACGTTGAGAAATGCAAAAATATTTGGAGTGCTGTTAGTGTGTATGTGGGGCATGATTTTGTTTACTCTCTTTAAAGCTTAATAACTCCTGTGCTTTTTGTCAAAAATTTCTGAAATTTTGCAGGGAGGTTTGTTTATTAGGAAATTGATGCTATTAAATTTTGGTGACTAAAGGTTGAGGGGGATTGTGTGAATCTCCAGTAGAGTTCAACTTAACAATTTTACTCGTCATTAGCATTTACAATGTTTTATAAAACATTGTAAATGCTGAGTAAAAATGCTGATGATGAGTAAAATTGTTATCATCATCCCTACCCTCAAAATTAAGCTTTTGGCCATTTTGTGATATATTTTATTTTAAAAACTTTTTAAATATTTAACTAACAGATGGCACCACCAAATGTTCTGGGAAAGTTAAGCAACTCATTGCTAGATTTTTATCATCATAAAATATTATTTTCAGAAAAAATTAGGATAATTTTTTAATCTCAAAATATTATCAATACAGTGGAACCCCGGTTAATGAACATAATCCGTTCCACGAGTCCGTTCGTTAACTGAAGCAATTTTCCCATAGAAATCAATGCAAATACAATTAATCCGTTCTAGACGTCAGTATTTTTGTAATTTTATTTGTAAAATGGGTTTTCTTTAATGAAAATATAGGAAAACGTGCTCATAAACAGTCGATCTAGGTTAAATTTTCGGTAAAGGGGAAAGATTTGACGGGTATAAAAACATCACATACGATCATTAAAGTTCTAAAATGACAGCTAGCAGAAACAATAGGCTAAATTATGAGCGAAAGGCTTATAGGTTTATCAACAATCTCTGATCAGAGTTGACAAACAGGTGTCAAATAAACGCCTTGGAACAAACCTTTCTCGTGACCTGATCTGGTTTCGGTTTTCACCTGGAGACAAAGAAGAAAACAACCGGGAAGCGAGGAATGGGACGCAGGACCAATCAAAAGATGAGATTCAAGGAAGAAATACTATAAAAACCTCAAATTTCAAGGTCAAAATGCAGTTTTCCTAAAAATTCTACAATGATTAATCTGTGCCATCTTCATCTGGATTAAGCCAGAAGTCGTGCCCACTAAAATTTGTGTTGTCTCTTGCGGACCACTCCAGTTGTTGCAGCTCTGTCCCCTACCATTGCTTCTGTGACCAAGCGAACCCATCTCGTCCGCTCTGGGGCTACGACTGATCAGCTTGTACTGTCATAGGACCAGCGATATGCCACTCCTCAGTGCTGAGAGAAAATACTGTAGATATGCCATTTCTAACTACCTCAAATATGTAAGCGTCTTCCTGTTCTAATAAACGATTTCACTGTAAAATACTTGTCATCTTTGTTTCCTCCACCACCACCAACGTACGAATGGACCCTAGACCATCACCGACACACGATTAACTGATTTTCCCTAAAAGTCGGCACGCTTACAAATTTGACAGAAAAAGCCATAAGTTCGTTATCTGAGACAAAATTTATCCAAAATAAAAGTTCGTTAACCGATTTGGTCGTTAACCAGGACGTTCATTAACCGGGGTTCCACTGTATTCTAATTAGAGTTGTCCACTACTTGAAAAAAATAAATTTTATCTACTTCATTTCAGTATAGATGTTCAATTTTGCATATAGACCATTAAACAATCTATTTATACAGATAATGAATAATCTGATTAATGAAACAAAATTATAAATTAATAGACAGAACTATATTAAAGAAAAAAATTTTAAATTTAAATAACTTACCCCAATTGTATTTTTGAACCAAAAAATTTAACACCATTCAAATTGGCAATAGTTCTTTCTACAGATAATGGATCACCCATTTGTATCATGGCACAGCCTTCTTTACTTTTCAAAAACTTAACCTACAAGTATTTTTAAATTAATATAAATTTATAATGAAAATGTTAAATAATAATAACTCTCTTGCCAGACACCATCTTGATGTGGTGAGAGAGCTCAGTAATTTTGATGAACCCACAGAGCTATGCCAGTTGGAGCATCTGCTCCTGATAGGATCACCAATGTAACATTAATATTGTTCATAGTAATTACTAATGTCCAGATTTATAAAATATTTCAAGATTTGTTAATTTATATTTTCTTAAAAATATTAAATTTTCCAGAGTATATAAAGAATTTTTAATAATTACTTAAGACACAACTTACTCGAACAACATTTCCATAGAGACAAAACAAATTAAACAGTCTGTCTGCATTAATTTTATCTGGAGCTAGACCATAAATCATTACAACAGACCCTTGTTGAGGTCCACCAGGACCTCCAGGTGCTGGTCCAGGTCCATATAATGGTCCACGACTTGGTGGTCCAGGTGGTGGAGGACCATCAACTCTACCATCATAAATCTCTCTCTCATACCTATTGTAAAGTACATAATTTTTAATTATAAACTGTTTATATTTTATAAATATTTAAAAAAATAAATATACATATAAAAATCATCATTGTTTATTTAACAATTAAAATTAATTTAAATATTTTAATGTAAAATAACTACATAATTACCTAAAAACCAGCAATAATTCACTTCAAAAACGAATGTTTTCTACTGTCTTGGAATCAAACCTGATGATGACCATTGAAGACAGTAGAAAACATTCGTTTTTGAAGTGAATTATTGCTAGTTTTTAGGTAATTACTAGTTATTTTATATTAATTTTCACACCAGTAATGCTGGTATAATGGATGAATATTTTAATAATTTAAAAATAACATAATAAACTGAAATTATTCAATCCATCTGATGAAATGATTTCTATTGCTTTTTCTTTTCTTTTAATTTTCTTGAAAATTAAAGGTTTAATTTTCATCATTTAATTTTTACATAAATGTTTTTGAACTAGCCAAATGGCATGGTTTTCCAAGGGGAGTATAATAGAAAGAATTATAAATCATATTAATGTTAGTGTAAGAGTAGATAAAAGAAATACAACTAAAACAGAAAAAAGAATCATCATTAAGGATAAGGCCTTTTCTAATATAATAAAATCAACAGTATAAGGTTCAAAATATTGCACTGTTAACAGAAGATCCCACAGTTATGGATATAAATGGGAAAAAATAAACACTGTAGAACAATCAAGAGAAACCAGGGATTTACATGGTAGATCTGAATGTGTTTTAATCTTCTTTCAGATACAAACACAGCCAATTTTATAGGTTCCATATTTACATTTACAAAAATAAAAATTAAAAATCATCTTGAAACTTTTAGAAATCCTAAAATTTATGTTCCTTTTACTATGCTCAAACAATGAAATTTAGAACTAATTTTAAAATAAGTTGNAGAGAGAGAGAGAGATGTAATCATTCTTTGGTAATAAAATGGAAAAAAAAATTTTGTTTGAAAGACAAAAAATGAAATTTCTATCACAATTTGTCAGGTCTGGTCCCTCACATAAACAACTTTTATTCTACTCCTTTACTCAATGAATCTAATCACTTCTAACATAATCTAGAAAAAAAAATATATGCTATTGATATATGCAGAGGCTGTGCCATACTGCATACATTAGTTTTATTTATAATCCTTCTTACTTAAAATTAAAATACAGTAGAGCGTCGTTTATCCGAAAGCATTCAAATCGGCAAATTTAAATTTTCGTTAGTGCTGTGGCACTGCAATCTTTGGCTATATCTTGGGCTATTCCAATATTTTTTTTGTTGGTGTGTGTGTGTTTTAGCTGGCAGCACTGGCACTATTGTGTGATGTTTTTCTGAGGACCGTGTGTCGTGTTGAATCGAACCTTTTTGATATGAGATCAACTTCTAAAGTTTATATTTTTTGGTTTTTATATTTTTCAATATATTTATTTTACTTAATATAAACACACATAAAAACCTTTACTTGACCAGTAAAAATATATTTAATGAAAACAACTAACGTTTTCGACTGCTTTCTCAGTCTTCCTCAGGTTTTAAATTCTGATATTCGAAAATCGTTGTGCTTAAATTTTCGAATATCAGAATTTAAAACCTGAGGAAGACTGAGAAAGCAGTCGAAAACGTTAGTTGTTTTCATTAAATATATTTTTACTGGTCAAGTAAAGGTTTTTATGTGTGTTTATATTAAGTAAAATAAATATATTGAAAAATATAAAAACCAAAAAATATAAACTTTAGAAGTTGATCTCATATCAAAAAGGTTCGATTCAACACGACACACGGTCCTCAGAAAAACATCACACAATAGTGCCAGTGCTGCCAGCTAAAACACACACACACCAACAAAAAAAATATTGGAATAGCCCAAGATATAGCCAAAGATTGCAGTGCCACAGCACTAACGAAAATTTAAATTTGCCGATTTGAATGCTTTCGGATAAACGACGCTCTACTGTATTTTAATTTTAAGTAAGAAGGATTATAAATAAAACTAATGTATGCAGTATGGCACAGCCTCTGCATATATCAATAGCATATATTTTTTTTTCTAGATTATGTTAGAAGTGATTAGATTCATTGAGTAAAGGAGTAGAATAAAAGTTGTTTATGTGAGGGACCAGACCTGACAAATTGTGATAGAAATTTCATTTTTTGTCTTTCAAACAAAATTTTTTTTTCCATTTTATTACCAAAGAATGATTACATCTCTCTCTCTCTCTCTGGAGTCATTTCCTTTCCCAAGGAACACATTGAATGTGTCACTGAGAACTACTATGAAAAATTCCCGATTGGTGAAAAAAGATATGATTTGAAGGTATTAAAAAAAAAAGTGACTCAGGGACAAGGAGAGTCCGAGAGTCTGCCAATCGCCCTCCTTGAGAAAGGATATTCGAGTGTTCACCCAATCGCTGATCCTGTCTGTCGCCATCATTCCCTCAACTGTCACTTTTTTTTTTTTTTTGACAATCAAGGTTGTCCTCCAGAAACCCTATTCGAATTTCTCCATTTAAAAGCTTGAACTTTTTTTACCCAGGTTTTTACCTCAAAAAAGCTTGAACTTTTTTACCCCAATCCACAACCATCCGACGAAGTTCAAGAATAGATGGAACAAGATATTTATCGCCACGCAAAAAATAAATGTAAACTCTCTCTTGGTCGGGGATTCGTTAACCTTAGATGACACTATATAACTATAGATACTTTAACTCGCTACTAGAAAGATAAAGAGAATTCTCGGTTACTTTGTGTAAAGATGTATATAAATAAATGAGTCTTTTTTGTTCTAATTAAGTAATAGTGTGCACTTCTTCCAATCTGCCGTATCTTATTCTCCTCCATCCCGAATCCAATCGCCATCTCTTAATTCTCCTCCATCCCGAATCCAATCGCCTGCACATGTGACCAATCGTGCAAATTCCAAAGTTGCAGTTTCTGTTCCTTCAGTGGTTTCTTTTAGTCCTGACGAGGCACTAAAGAGGTACCAACGCTCTGGTCACATTTACTTATACTACAAAGTAGTAATAAAATTTTAAAGCCAAACAATTGCTGGATTAAATTGAACTATATTAGTGCTACTTATTAATAATTAAATATGGTTATATATATTGCAGAATGATCGGTATGCTGGTCTATGTAGGGACCATGAAATCAGATATTTCTGTATGATAAAAAACTGTGGGGGCCGAGGGGTGAGGAAAAAAAAACTCAATGAACGATAATGGGCGATATATATCGTCATCGTCTCCCTTGCCATTTGGACTGCCGAGCGGTAACAATCAACGACATGTGGAAACAGTTGAGTCAGAGATAGCTGCTTCATTTACAAACAACACAATTGTTTATTAAACACGAAAGAAGCTTACAAGATTTCCACGATCTTGGAAGTTCTGCAGTGACTGAGGCCTCTGGGTCTTCCTCTCCTTTCCAAGATAGTCTCATTTTGAAGGAGTGTCCCTTGTTTGAGAATGAACCATTCCATCACGTCTCGACGACTCTGGGACAATGTGGTCGATTTCCGTTGATGGAAAGATGTCGATCCGAGGTCGGGAGATGGAGACGAAGATGGGTTCGAGACACACACACAACAACAGATCCGTCACTTGGAACTTTCAGGAGAAGAAGCCCTTGCGTCCGTGAATTTCCGGGGTTTTATCCGTTTTCTCTCAGATTCCCCTTTCTGATTGGTCTCTCCTCATCATCTGATGACAATTCGAAACCTTTCGGGGCGCGGGAGAGGTCAAAATCGAAGTTAATTCGATCTCCGATTGGAGATGGTCGACGGACTTACATTCTTCTATTGTTTAAAATTTAGCATCACATTTTCATAAAATAAAATCTCTCTCTAACTACTGTATATTTTTTCTATAAAACAATTATTTTAACACGAATTTTAGTAAGGGTTTGGACCTGTCCAGAGCCTCACAAAACCAGCATGACAGTTTAAGAGATGTTATAATCCCTCTGTAGAGAGCACACTAAAAAACAAACGAGTTTTTATTCTAAAACTGAAACTATCTGTATTACATCAAAATGTAAGATTATATGTTTAATTTCTTCATTTGTTTTCTTTTTAACGATGTAAAATACTCATAGGATAACTAAAGTGCTTTTTTACTTCTATTTTATTGTAATTCAATATAAAATGCAAAAATAAGTGTGAGAGTCCAGAGACGGAATAATTTTATTTATTTTAGTAAAATTTTTTTTAAAAAAGTATTAAATTGATGTCAAAATTGACACAGTTCTATCAATTTCGTGAGAAAGGAAAGTAAAACTTCCTTTAAAGCTGTTATCACGCATCAGGAAGAATATCCCATATGATTCAAATCCCAAACCCCAATTGGAGAGAAATTACAAACTCAGGGCCAATGATGATAGTAAGAAACTACCATAAAAGAAGCAGACGGCCATAGAAATGGATGGCCAGGAATAAAACCCCACCATAAGGAGAACAAAGTCTAGCTCTGGCTCCTCATTTGCATCCAACCCACCTACGTCTCCATACCAAAAGGAATCTACACATCGTATCAATTAGACCAGAGGTATTATTATTTAGATCCTATTGTAAACTCTCTTTTGGTATTTTAGAGGTGTACCTAGTTTTTAGATTATTTCCTTTGTACTTCATATACATATATATATGAAGTACAAAGGATATAATATATCCTTTATATATAAGTAACAATAAAAATTTAATGTATATATATATATTAGTGTATAAGTCCAGATAATTTACTGTCAATTTCTGAAATTTAATATGCTTATGTGAGAATACGGGTGATGATAAAACCTTCTAGTTGTTGCGACATTAAGATTCACTCACTTTGTCAGTGGATGGTGTTTAGGAGGGTCTTTGCATTGATTGGGAGAGCCATAAGTAAGTTTCAATTATTGCATTTTCAGATGTCCGTATAAACCAATTGAACAGACAAATTGATTAACAAGTAACAATAAATACAATAAAAATTTAATGGATATATATATATGTTAAGCAATTTGTCTGTTCAATTGGTTTATACGGACATCTGAAAATGCAATAATTGAAACTTACTTATGGCTCTCCCAATCAATGCAAAGACCCTCCTAAACACCATCCACTGACAAAGTGAGTGAATCTTAATGTCGCAACAACTAGAAGGTTTTATCATCACCCGTATTCTCACATAAGCATATTAAATTTCAGAAATTGACAGTAAATTATCTGGACTTATACACTAATTAACATCCCCGTTATATAAAATTTGAGAGGAAGGTGTTATTTTTAAGGTCAGGATAGATGGTCAGTGTAGCCCATATTGACTAACCACTACTACTAATGTCAATAAGCCATTAATTGTTTTATTGCTGTAAACAAAAACTCTCTTCTTGATTTTAAGTCAGTCAAATTATAATGTTATTATTTTGTTCTAATCAGAAGAATGTTTTCTTTAACATTTAATTAACAACTAATTTTCTTACATTTGATTAATTTTATTTTTTAGTCACAGTTTAATGGCATGCCAGTAACCCCAGGGTTTCCAGCATGCTGGTCTCCTCCAGTTTTATGCATCATGCCAGTCATTCTGCAAAAATACAGTATATATAGCCAGCTGAGTTCCATGGTGATGATTATAGGCCATTGGCACTGAGTCATCCCCATTTGGCATGAGTATGGTTATTGGGCGGGCAGCAATTTGAAAAAATTGATGACCTATAAATCCCACTGTTGTCTGTTCTTTAATCTCAAGAATAAAGAGTTAGATAGATGAAATCCAAGACTGGTATGGAAACCTTAGGGACAGGAGGCACCAATTAACTATATATGAACTTCTGATGCAAACCAGAAGTCACGTTATTTCAATTCAAAACTTTTTCCCTGAAAGCAGTTAATAGATGATAGGGGCAAGACATTACAGTACTAATTTGAGGTAGAGAGCATATATTTTAAATTAAATATATTAAAAACATGATTAAAAATGCTTATTTATTAATTGCTTATTTATTTATTGAATTCTACACCAGTAATATCATGAGGATTATGGTGACATTGTCACAATTTTTAATCATATTTTTCACAGCTTGGCATTGTGACATTGTCACAATAAATAATTGCTTATGTCTAAATTAATATGTTTGGAAGTGAAGAATTGGACAAAAGAACTGGCAATGCATCTAGAGTAGGGGGGTCACCAAACTTTTTTACAGCAGGCCAGATAACTGAGAGAATGAGAGTGCAGGCCACATAACCATTTTGTTCAATATAGTATACTGAATACACAAAAAATAAAGACAACCAACTTATTTATCTACCAATACAAACACAATCACTGCAGCAAGCATGTAATCACTTTTCTTAGAAACTTCATTGCAGGTACTTGCCAAATGCACTGTGATATCCATAGTCGCAAAAAGTCGGCAAGTTTTTTATTTCCCTAATTTTACTAAAAATTATATTACTGTCAGATGCAAAAATTAGATTGGACCAATTTTGGCATTTTTACTTACACTTATTTTAATTTTTTCTACATAGTAAGTTTATCTACAAACTATGATATTTCCAAATAAATAATTATATTTTAGCTCAAATTAGCTATATTTTGTGGCAAAGTGTGGAAACAGTCGGATGAGCTGACCTCGCAGGCTGTAGTTTGGTGACCACCATTCTAGACTGTAAGCAGCAGTTACAGGTTTGAATTTAATTCCAAGATAATCCTTTTCTTCCAAAAGTTTCTAAATTATTTAATAAATATTAATTTAATCATAATTAGAAAAGGTTATGGAAGAAAAGAATTGGTCTGAAACAGTACTTGAATCTGTAACTCCCGCTGACCATGCGGACACATTGCCAATTATGCTATGTGGACTTCCATCCAATCTTCACTTCCAGAACTATTAATTTAGATACAACCATACTGGTTACTCAAGGCACCAACTGAAGACAACTTCAGTACCCAGTAACATTTAATTAATAAAAAGTAATTATTTATTGTGACATTGTCACAATGCCTGACTGCAATTTTTAATATTTTTAATTTATTTAATTTAAAATATATGCTCTCCATCTAAAATTAGTAGTGGCTTGCCCCTGTACATCATACTTTTCCTTTAACAATAGAGTTGTGCCAGTCATCTATTAACTCCTTTCAAGGGAAAAGTTTTGAATTGAAATAATGCGACTTTCAGTTTACATCAAAAATTCATATATAGTTAACCGGGGCCTTCTGCCCCTAAAGTTTCTGTATCTGGTCTCATCTTTCATCTAGATAACTCTGTTCTCGAGATTAAGGAAAGACAGATGGATGATAGTAGGAATTTATAGGTCTACAATTTTTTCAAATTGTAGCCCAATTAGTAGCATTAATATAGCTTGAGGTAATTTAGATATCATTTGGCTTTAACAACATCCAATGTTAAGTTTATAAAAATTTTGTTAAAATTTTCCTATAATTTTAATCATGATATTAAAATTGTGAAAAATTAGCTTAATATATAAAACTTCATTATTAGCTTAATAAAAACCTTGGATTTGTTTTTTAATTATTATTGCTCCGATTTAAATTTATTCAATTTCCCTGATCTATTAAGATTGATGTACATCATTAAGTCTAACTGNTAACAACAGATGGCACCACCAAATGTTGCTGGGAAAGTTAAGCAACTTGTTGCTTGATTTTTTTGAAATTGTAGATGAATTCATTTTGACATTGCTTTAGAAATTCATTCATTATGTAGATAAAATAAAGATGAAAATAAGCTCAAATGAAAGAATTTGTTTTTACATGAATCTGATAGCCTCTTAGCTATTCAGCAGTTTATATATTAAGGATTAAATTAACTGATAAATATGAAAATAATAATTCTTTTTTATTTACCTGCCATATCTATCTGGAAGTGGACTACCATAACGAGTCTGAGGCCTAGGAGGAGGACCATAATCACTTCCATATCCATGCACTGGACGTGAACCATAACCATCATATGATTCTCTCTCTGGATATGCTGGTGGCCCTCTAGGAGCTCCATCTCCTACATTAAATAAATATTCTGTTAGAAGAAAAATAATATTTTTTCTTTGATGATGTTAATTTTTAAGTGATTATAAGATGAGATTTTCTCAATGAAAATAACAATCAGAATTATATTCCATTAAGTTATCAACTTCTCATATAATATCTTTAAAAATTTCTAATTGATGATAATTGAAATTTATGTAGCACCTAATCAATAAAAATTTCTCATTAAATGTAACATTCTAATAAGAACATTTTAAAATTACAATGAATCAACAAATTAACAAAGAAAGAATAAACACCATCCAGTAACTATATTGAATAAGGTTTAAAGAAAAAATATATCACAAAATTTATTAGAGTACTTTCAACTTTTCAAACATGGAAGCTTCTTCAGTAAATGAAATACAATTTAATAATTTAATGACTTTTTGAAGATTGTCTCATTATAAAATTATTTATAAAGATTTTTTCCACTACAGCTTTATTAAGAGAAGCAAAAGTAAAATAATGTTATGGGTACAATGATAAAAAATAATTAGTAAGACTATAAATGTGGACCATTAGAGCTAATTAAAAAATATTTTAAAGCAAATATCTGAAATTTTTCAAGATTTCAACAAAATTCTACTTGAAATTTTATTTATTATCATAAGCAAATTCTCAGCATTTACAAACTGTAGACATATATTTGGAAAGTTTTATAAATACTGTAAGATGATTGAATCTACTGAACATAACAATAATGTTCTCCATATTAATATTCATCATCACTTCTCAAATAGTCAAATTTATAAATTTTCTTTCCGATAATTTTTATATATAAATGTTTATTAAGATTTATTTTATTCTAAATGGATTAATCTTCAAATTATTTACTAAGTCATGAAACTATATTCAAAGAAATTTTAGTTTGCAACCTTTATTTTTAGAATTCTAAAATCAAATAGTGAACTTCTAAATCTAATGTTAATTAAAGTAAAACTGTTAGCATTACTTTACAATATCTTATTTTTATTTTATCTTTTTTTATGAAATACACTAAAATTTTTCATATTTAATTATTATATAGTTGTTAAATTATAAACAAACTAAATTTTTGAAATTGTTCCAGCTTTATCATAAATTATAATAATGAATTATTTAGTAATGTTAATCTTAACTTTTTAATAAATAATCTGTTTCTTTTCTTATTAATTGTATTTTGTCATTTTTTTATGCATGTTTCACACAAAATTCAATCTTCTTCACATTTCTAGTTTATTAATTTCTTATTTAAAAATCCCATTACTACTCAATATGTTTTCTGAAATTAAATTATTTTTAAGAAAAGGGATTAGAATTTTCTTTAGACATTCATTTTGGTACATATCAGCATCAATTGCAAGAGATTCCTTTTTAAAAAATGGCTTTGAAACACCTGCTGATGAAATATCAATGTACAACATGACTTTTGTTTCATATTTCTTCTTAAATTTGTACTTCACTTTAGGAGGTGCTTGATTTTCATTGCTTGCATTTGCTGCCGGAGAGAGAAAAGTACTTTGTCATACAAAATGAACATTTTGTTTCCAAAATTTATTACCAGCCATCTGCATTGTGTTTGGATTTCACCAATTTTTTCTGCAGTGTACTCTTGGGTCCTCTTCTTCTTTTCTTTATGCCCATCTTTTAGGTGTCTTACCTATGTATGATCAATGACAACTAAACCTCTTAGCTGCCTCCATCTGGCTAACTGCATCTTTATTGTCAAATATTTGCACAATGCTCTTTGGTTTTAGCATTCATAACAACTGGCATAAATAATGTACAGTTGATTTGTTATGGCTTTCAGCTAAAAAATGCTCCACCACCAATTTTTTTGCCATTTTTCTGAACTGACTCAATAAGTTCAAAAACTTCACATGCTATAACTGAGCATGTGTAATGATGTAATTTTTGGAATGAAGATTTTAAAATCATCTTTTTGACTTCAAAAGTTATGATGCTTTAAACTCTGTCCAGATTTTTTGTCTCATTCTGTTAGCTTATCTCAAAACTCTGATTTTCATTAATTAAAATAATTTGAAATCAATATATAAAACATTAATTCTAAAAACTGCAACACAAATTTTTATAAAAGCTATGTCTGAAAAAAAATTCTAAAATAATAATTATTTAAAAATACATTAAAGTAAGTATGACTAATATAAAAAAGTTATTAAATTAATTTATCATTTAAATGCTAGACTATAAGAGCATTATAAAGATTAGCAATAGGGACATAACAGAATTTAAAAAGTAAAGCTGCTTACTCAATATTCAAAAACGTCTACTGATAAATTTGATAGATATACGGAAAAAAGTATCTTGGATTTTAATACATTTGCAATAAAATTGATAATTTTTAGCCTTTTATAAATAAAAAAGTAATATATTTAGAAAGTTTTACTAAATAACTTACGATAAGGTGGTGACCCATAACCTCTAGGTTCTTGCAATAAAGCAGGTCTATCACTGATTTTACCTATTATATTGAAAAAAGTGAAAAAGTTATACATTTTCCAAATACATAAACAGTATTCAGAACAAAACAGAAAACCTTCAAATATTTTCAAACTTCAATTAAATTAATAAATTATGTTTTCAATTTATCAGAAGTGGCAAAAGCAAATCATCAAACTGTTCAACTAAAATGAACAGTATTTATAAGAAAAAGGATAAAGTTTAACAAAAATTATATTTTCAAAACATATAAATTTTATTTTTCAGAAGATTCAGTTAAAAAACTGAATTCAAGCACAAAAGAATAAAAAACATTTTTTTTTTAATATTCAAAAACTATCTAAATACATTTACTCAGAAGCTTTCATTCAAGCTTAATATTTGTAATGAAATCAGCATTAACATAAAAAGTTAACTAAAAATAGACTAAAAGCCTTTTTTTTTTTAAATATATTCAACAGAATAAAATTATTCAAATATAGAACAATATATACTAATAACTGCAATTTAGTAAATATAAAATACATTATTGAAATTATAAGTCATTATTTTTTTTACATACAAGAGCTGTGTTCTTTTCATTAACTGATTCAATTTTTATTTTTAATATAAAACACTCATCCTCTTTTGACTTTCTCATTAATTTAGATGTCCAAAATTACTTCTTGGTTAAAATCTTACATTCAACAGTACACAAGTGTTTGAAGTTTCTTTCAGTTTTAGATCCTTTCCATATCAAACAAATGTGGAAACAGAAATAATTTAATTCAATAAGATCGAAAAACTATAATTATTTAAAAGGGCTTATTTCTAGAGCCTTTCCACATTGCTGTTTGATAATATACGATGTAGTAATAATTTTGACTTATTTTTTTTTTTATTATTAATACCTATAAACTATTTATAATTCATCCAGCTTTTTAAATTTATATAATCTCTCTAAAATAAGAGAGATTATATAAATAGCTTTATAGCATGGTAATAGTCACCAAATATCTATATACAAGACAATTTGCTCTAAAATCCAATATTTTATATTATTTCAATGATATACCATATTGTATTGATATATACAGTAAATAAAGGTCTAATAGAAACCATATTTTGAAAATGTTTAAGTCCAGTGGGCTTTTAATAGGGACAATATGATTTAATTGAAACTGAACTATATTATACAGCAGAATTTGCTATTGTAATCATAATCACAGGTATCATTAATTATTTAATGTTATCAAACTTAGCATATCTTAAAACATGCAAGTTAAAATACATTTATAAAATTCCACTTATACTAATCAGAATTTCAATTATAATTATCAGTAATTTCAGGTAAATTAGAAGTTTTAAGCTGTCTTTTACACCAGTCCTCAATATACAGTTGGTAATCATTATCAGTTACTAGTTATCACTATCAGTCTTAATCAATGTTTTAAGTATTAAATGATTTCTACACTTGAGTAAATAATTATTAAATTTAATCTGCTCACAGTATAGTTTGTATCATTTTAATATCAAATTCAATAAAATCAAAATTTCCATTAATTGTAAGACTTATTTACTTTCTCTTTCTATTATCAGTCAGTTATCATTATCAGTATCAATGTCCCAAAGTAAGTACAATAAGCAGATTTTATTTGTAATGAAAAAATATTGCATTTAAAGAAAGAATGCTGAATTATTGATTCAGTAATTATATCTAATTTCCCTACTTAAATATCAATCCTAAATATTATTAAAGTTTCTTTAAAAGTAGTGTTAAAAAATAGCCTCAACAATCCCTAGAATAGTTTTATAGGACTTGGCTAAAAACTCTACATCACCATCCAATAATTCATAGATTTTGATCTGATTTTATTGGTTATATTCATCATCATCATCCTCTTCCTTCTGTTCCAACCTTTTGCAGGATAAGTCAATCTTTTATATCTATCATCATCATTCCAAAGCTGATATTCTTCCATTCTGTCCCATCTTTCCAATTTTCTTACATCATTTTTTTTACCTATTCTCTCTATCTTTTTCTACTTTTATTTCTAACATCATTCTTCAAAAGCTATATTTATTCATTGTTTTTATATGACAATCATTTCATTCTGTACAATATTTTTTTCTATATTTACATTTTTTTACTTTTTCTTTCATAAAACATTTTTGATTCCGTATCCTCTTGTTTTTTCCAATAATGTCCTGAAAAATTTTTCACTAGTAACTGAATCCTGCTTTTATTTTTTAATGATAAATATTAGATTTTTAATCCATAGATTAGGATTGGAAAAAATAAGGACTGTATAGCAGTTGCTAACATTTAGGCATATTTTTGAAGATTAAAGTAATCTACATACTTCTGTGAAATCCAGAATTTTTACCAAATTTTCCGATTAATATCCCGCAGTTTCCTAAACCTCCAATTTAATTTTCCTTTAAATTCTAAACTAAAATCTAACTTAAAAAAATGGAAAAATTCCGATCTCCCCTTTCGTTTAAAGTAAACATCCGTCCATTTCGAAACTAATCCCACATTCCAACTCCAAAGTTGATAGTTAGCATGGGCCCGGAAACAACTTTGACCCATCCGCGTACCATTTACCTCACAACAATTGGTCACATGACCATTCTCCCACACCGAACTTATAAAAACCCCTTCCTTCCCCTTCTCAGGGGAGTCGTTCATCCGCCGTCACTTTTAAAACTGTGTCCTACGAATATTGTGTCCGATTAATATACTGTGTCCTATCGATATTGTGTCCTGAAGAAAAATTATCATCCTTATCCTACCAACCCGTTGGATATCAAAACCATTTTCCTTAAGAATATTTAAAGACATAAAGAGGTATGGAACAAATTTTTGTGAACTCTCTCTCGGTCCTTCGCGTTTCAGGGACTCAGATTTTTCCCTTTGAAATTACTTATTGTAATTAATTAGTTATCGTATCTATGTAGCTAATAAATCATTGTTATCCTGTTAAATTGGTGTCCTCGTTTGCTCGTATATCGCCTGTCATCTTACCGACGCACTCCTCCCTCCGCCACTCGACCTGAACCATTAAAGCCCGTTACAGCGGGAAAAGAATCCTTCCATCCATCCTGACAGTGAAAAGGTTTAACAACCTGTTGCCGGATCAGGAGACCTACACCCTCCCCGGCGGTTCACACTTCCATAAAACACTGAGAAATTCTATAGTTATATTCCATCATTTTCTGCTATTAAAGATTATTTTTCCTCTTCACTTTTAGCTTTAAAATACTTCATAGAAGAAATGTTGCTTCACAATGGATTTTTATCACAAGCACACAATATGTATGAAATTCTCAACCAACAAATCTTATATGCATTTGGAGCTAGAACTATTTAAAATGACTAAGAAAAACCTTTCTCACTTTGTTTTTGGCCATTTAAACACTGAGTACTTAGTGCTTAAATGGCTAGAAACAAAGTGAGAAAGGTTTTGTCTTAGTCACAACAAATCTTCAATTGGAAATTCACATATCCAGTCAAGGAGAAATAGGCTGGTGTTAGATATTGTAAGGAGCAATCTACAACTCACAATTTGCCTCAGCTTATTCCCCTGGTAAATAAAAAGTTTTAGTTTTGATTTCAGTTTAGTTTCATTAAAGGGATACATAACAGCCACATGATACAAGATAATATATCTTGTATATATTAGTCATTTCCTCCAACTTAAAAAACAAAAAATGCTTTTTAGGCTTTTAATTCTTTTTAACAAGGTATAAACATATTACTATTTCAATCATATTACTATGTATAGTTCCTAAATATATAAGATATTCATTATCAAAAATGAAAAATGCTTTTAAATTGTTTAATGCTTTTGACAAGCCTTAGTAATGTAAATGAATGAGTTGTTCATATTTTAACAAAACTTTCACATCCTATTCAAAATATCAAATTTAAAGAAAAAACAAACACAAAGAAAAAATCTTTATTTAATATTCTTAATTCTTTCAGTCTTTTATAATCAGCATTGAGATATATATCACACATTAATTTTTTAAATTGCATTCTATTTTCCATTTCAAATTAAATTTATTAAATTCAAGCACAGATTTCAAAATAAACAATATCAGTATCCTATATAAATTTATTCTTGCACTGAAAGATTCACTTGAATTTATTATGTGCATATGAAAAATACATGTCAGAATTTGCAATTTACATTAAGAATCTTCTGCTTATTTTCATCAGTTACTCTGAGTAGTTCTTTCATTTCTGAAACTTTATTCTATTGGGACTAAAGGCACAGTTTTAGTTTCAAATATATATTTTCATTACTTTATTTAATATTCATTAACCTATTAACTTTTTAATTTTGAATAAGATGATTCTCATATTATAAAAACCTCTCAAGGAGAGTGTCAGACATTTGGATCTCCAATTCAAACAAAATTTAGTAAGCATGTAGCACTAAACACAAACAGCTCCTCGTCCAAACAAAAAAAGGACTCTTTTATGTCATTAAATAAAAGTTTAATCTAGAGAGATTTGTTTTTCGGTAAACAGGAAATGACAACAAATTTTTTAATCTCTTGTTTATAAGCTTTAAACATAAAGAATAATACTGTAATAATAACAATGCTAATGATGCAATAAAATATTAAAATAATTATGTTACACATTAAAAAAAAACTAAAATTGAGAAGGTTCAAGCCTGTATCATGTAACTCCAGTACGTAGCATTTTATCCACTAAGCTATCACTGTTCCACTGCAAAGTAAAACTTGTAAAGACATATGCTAAATATTGAATTTTCAAAGTTTGTTTTTCAGAAATGCTTGAGAAGTGGATCCTATTATTTGGACAAGAAGCTGTTTGTGTTTAGGGCAAGTTTCATTTGAATCAGAAACCTTAATGTCTGACGTTTCCTTGTCAATGATGCATGCAAAAAAAATAGTTTTAGAAAAAATAAGCAATCGTATTTCTTGACCAAATACAATTACAGTCGACCCCTCTATAACGTGCGTTCCTATAACGACAATTCCTATAACGTAGCGAAAAAATTGTAG